CAATTCACAAAAATTTCTGCCATATAAAGTAATTTGAATTCCAGGTCACAGATCACGTCAATGCAAAACTGGACATAATTTATACATTTCCCTTGTCGTCCAGTAACACGTCAAGTCACCCCTCACTGCAATACACTCTCTCGTCCCCTAAATTTCACCCTAGATTTCACAGCTTTTTTACTCCTTTCAGCCATCCCCTCCCCCCATTCTATCTTTCCCCTAGCCTCCCCTCCCCAAACTCTCCACCTTCCCACCCCATCCCACACCCAACCCTATCCTCCCCTCTACCCAACTCCCCACCTTATCCTCCTCTCCACCTCCCCACCCAATCCCACCCTACCCTCCACCCCCCACCCCACCACCCCTACCTCGGCGTCCCACAGGTCTGGCAATACTGCAACTACAGGTATATGAAAACCTTCTGGTGAGGAACAAATATTTGCTTCTCCTTAACGGGACAAAAACCCACACCGCGTAAGGCTGATATTTACATGGGAATAACTTGTGCTTGGTAGTTGAGATGAGGAGAGAGTGGCAAGCCCGGCCAAACACGGCGATTAATGCACCTTATTTACACAACTGTAAACTGAGGGAGAGAGGGAGGGAGGGAGGGAGGGAGAGAAACAGAGGGAGAGTAAGTGAGCCAGATGTGCAGTGATGCATTTGTGTTTTCTTTGTCAGGGATGGTGGTGGAGGAGAGGGAAGGGAGCAACAATGCATAAGAGGGAAGTGGTAAAAGAGAGAGAGAGAGAGAGTGATGAATACGGGAGTAATACAAATGAGACGATTAATGCAGTTCACACACACACACACACACACACACACACACACACACACACACACACACACACCTGTAAAATGAGAGAGACAAAGACAGAGAGAGAGACAGAGAGAGAAAGAGAGAGTAAACACACCAGACAACCAACACACACACACAGTCGACAGCAACAGCGTCAGGAAGGAGGAGTGTGGGAGGCAGCGTCCGGCCAGAAGCGTCCAACCAATCATCACGGTTTATAGGTTCTGGCAGCATGGAAAGAAACGTCAGCACTTTACCGCCGCGTACCAAGGCGTAAAGGGGCCATAAAATGTAATCTGTCTAAGGAATATTAATATACACTATCTTGGACGTTTATGTAATGTGACAATTTATTCTTTATCTTTTATATCTTTTAGGATTTTGCAGGGAGAGTAATGAGATTTTGTGCAAGTTTGGAATATGAAAGGATTTTTATTCCAAACAATAAAAAAAAATGCAAACAATATTAAACAACGAAACATGTAAACAAACAACGGAAACAGACTGTGGAAACATCATGGGGTAGACGGCGACTATCTCCATGGTAGGCGTTAGCAACAAGACCACCCCCTGCCCCCACACCCTATCCCCTCTCATGTCCCAGATCTACTATGTAAATTAGACTCCTTCCTTGGTCCAGCACCGATAGGCTCCGGGACAAGCATTTTTTTTATGTAAATGAAAATATATTTGTAAACGAAGATAAATACTAAAATTCTGGAAAGGTTGGGAGGAATAGATTGGAAGGGAGGGGGGAAGTGAGAGGATAGGAGGGGAAATGGAGAAGGGTGGGGAATAGATGGGAAAGTAGGGAGCGGGAGAGAGAGAAGAGGGGAGAGGGAGGTAGGAGAGGAATAGGAAGGAAGACAAAAAGAATGCAAACAAATGCTTACTGACAAAATTCTAACCTTACATAACCTGGAAATATTCTGAAGACAATGAGGAAGAGAGAGAGAGAGAGCCACCTGAGAATTAGACACCCCAGCTTATATCACCTGAAGATTAACCCCTGTAATACTATCTGGAGGGATTAGGTTAGATTAAATTAGGTTTGGGTTGGGTAGGTTAGGTTACGTTGGGGTAGGGTAAGTTAGGTTAGGCTGTGGAAGGTTAGATTAGACTGGGTTACATTACAGTAGGTTAGCTAAGGTTAGGGTGGTTAATCATCAGGTGAAATAAGCTGGAGTGTCTAATCTTCAGGTTATAAAAAAAATATCAATGAAAATTCCACGAGTCTAATATTTTTTTGTATATAAAAGAGTAAAGCAAAATCCACAGAACTCTGCTGCAGTTTCCCCTGACTGATGGTTCTATTACGACACCAGGTAACGGGGGATTAAGAGTCCATGGAGAGACTATTTTGTATCTATGTTTAGTCCTCTTGGTGCTGAAAGAGATAATCTCTTCTCCGCCCGGCACAGAAAATGGAACTCGTTGGCCGGTGAGAGAAAATGTGTAACAAATGGCAAGGTGACGAAAGTGAGATTCTTCAGCCGAGCAAAGAAAACGTGTCTCGGCTGTAAATAGGAAACAACCTCGTGAGCTCAACATAGAAAATGGGTTTCCTCAGCCGGGTAAAGAAAATGGGTCTCATGTGCTGGATAAATAAAATAGGTCTCATTTGCAGGATAAAGAAAATGTGTCTCATGTGCTGGATAGAGAAAATGTGTCTCATGTGCTGGATAAAGAAGATGTTTCATGTGCTGGATAAAGAAAATGTGTCCCATGTGCTGGATAAAGAAAATGTGTCCCATGTGCTGGATAAAGAAAATGTGTCCCATGTGCTGGATAAAGAAAATGTGTCCCATGTGCTGGACCGAGAAAATGGGTCTCCAGGGCCAGACTAAAAAAATGGAACCCTTGTAACATAGGAAAGAGGTGAAGACTAAAGAGAGGGAGGGAGAGATAATCCCCACCAACAGCTCTTAACTCTGGGCGTGTCACCTTACATGACCCAGCCTTAGGTCACACACACACACACACACACACGTTTTAACGATATATACTGTAAAATATGATTTCTATAGTTACTTCGGCAATAGTTTATCTAATAGAAATGAGAGCATAAGTAAGCAAGTGTGTGTGTGTGTGTGTGTGTGTGTGTGTGACCTATGCATACTGTATATGCTTGTTACTCTGCTTCTCCCCGGCAAAATACGCATTGCATATAAATTATTAAAATAAACATGACAAGACTTACAGAAAAAATATATATAAGATTTTTTTTTAAAGTTGTGGTGTGTTGTGCCCTCGTCAGACACAGTTAACTGCTGGGCGGGATAAAACACCAGGTACTGAAGGAACACTTAACTGGACTTTTTCCACCTCATCTGCCCCACAATCTCCCAACTGATAGACGAAATCTTGGGTGTTATTGTGGCAATTACAGCTCGTTAGAGGGACATAACTACTGCGATTATGACGGTTAAATAAAGCCTTAATGAGGTGGGGGGCGGGGGTGAGGGAGAGGGAGTGAGAAAGGGTGAGGGTGTGAGAGTGGGGGAGGGGGAGGGGGAGGGAGAGGTGGTACCCAGGTATTATTTTATTTAGCGGGTGTTGAAGGTCTGAGTTAACATTCTATCTTAATTATATACCTGAAAATTTACCTTAAGGTCTAATGTAGGATGAACCTCACGATTAACCTGAAGATCAAATTAAAATCTACCTGAAGATCTCACCTGAAAATTTGACCAAAGACCCTCCAGACATTTTACCCAAAGACCTCCCTGAAAATTTACCTAAATACTTTGACAATATATCCAAAGACCCCCTCACCCCCCCACTGACAATTTAAACAAAGACCTCCCTAAAAATCTACACAAAGACCTTGAAAATCTACCAGAAGACCTCCCTGAAAATCTACAACAAGACCTCACTAAAAATCTACCCCTGATGGCCTGCTTGGATCGGCAAACCTAGTGAGAGACATGCCTTAGAATAATACCAAGAAGCTACAATGGGAAACTAACACCAAGTGTGAAGCGGCGAGCCCAGAAGGTCAAGGAAGGGATGGAAAGAGAGCAAGAACAAGAAATGAAGAAGAAAAGGATGGAAGGAGGAAAGGAGAAGGATGGAATAGCAAGAAGTGAGGAGATGGCAAGAGGAAAATATGGGATGGGATGGAAGGAGAAAGAAAAGGGAGTAAGAACTAAATTGAAAGGAGGAGGAAGCTAAAGGGAGGAAAGAGAAAGGGGAGGGAGGAAGGAAGGAAGGAGGAAAAGGGAGGGAGGAAGGAGGAAAAGGGAAGGAGGAAAAGGAAGGGAGGAAGAATAGGAATAAGAAACAAAATGAAGGGAGGAGGGAGGAAAATGAAGGGAGGAAGGAAGAAAAGGATGGGATGAAAGGTGGAAAAAAAAGGATGGAAGAGAAAAATGGAAAGGAATAGGAAGGGAAGCGGGAGATTTATTTAACCAGTTTCATACCCCACGTGTATACTTCAACCCAAGACTGTATTACACAAACCAGCTGATAAAATAAAACAATTGTAACCTACACATAACTTTTACGCACTTAACATCAAGATAATTCCAGAAAACACGATACAACTTCAGCAGTAAAAAAGCAATTCATCCTTAAAGGCAAATTAAATCCTTAAACGACAGGAGACATCAACTTTAAAACACTGTCACGCATCAATAGTTTTCAATCACCATAAAACAACAACAAGAGATTTTAAATATTGTTATGATGATGGAAATAAAAGATCATATATGCACCAACAATATATCTCAGACAAAAAAATGCGTTTCCCTTTATAATCACGTGACTGAAGGTACGGTAAAAATATTGCTGCCAAAATAGTGTTGATGCGGACCTCTACTGCCACTCTCCTTTACCCACGAAGGCCAATATAAACACGAGTATAACCTTCACACCTTGGAGCATCCACAACACTCTGATACTATTACGTAACTCACAGACGCCAGAAGAATTATATAAAAATCACACATTATGTACAGTAGCTAAAACAACTATCTGTGCAGGTGGGGGTCGATATGCTCCGAAATTTTACGTGTGACTAGTGACAGCTCTCATATACCAAAATTTATCGTCCATGGTCTCGTATTGTTTCCCACAAAGTATGCACAGATAGTTGTTTTAGCTACTGTACAAATTACATTAAAATGTTACATATAAATCAAATAGTAATGTATATGTAAATTATATAATGTACTGTAGGTAAAGTTACTCGAGTACTCACCAAGTGTTGATCATCGTGAGGTGTGGTTCCTGGAGTCCCACTGCGAGAGAACGCACCATTAATTCACTATACAAAACTCTGACAATATATTCTTCTACATCATTACATTGTTACGTGTCAAAGGGGTAAGAGCTGGTAACAAACAAAGAGTGAAGGTATTTAAAGAGAATTACAATATATGGTTCTTAAATTTGTATAGAGAATAACTACGGTATAATGTATGGATTGAATGTAACCCCCTTTTAATACATGAATACTTGATGATTGGAGTAGAGAAACTTAAATGAAAAGCATAACTATATTTACAAATACTTACCACTAATAACAAAGACATAAAGCTAATCACATGAACATACTAGATTACTTAAGGTTGCCAATATTACTAACAACTAAATCAATACACGATTCAAGAACAAAAATACAAAGAACATTGAATACATAAAACACTACATACAGCCAGCCAGCCTCAACAATGAATACCAGAAGTCAACTGACAACGAAGGCCAGTGTAAAGGACCGGAGGTTACCCAAGCTTGTGTCCAAACTCAAAGCCGATGAGGACCTAAAATCTTTCTTAAATTCTACACACTTAACGCGACAGGTCAGCGACGGTCGTATTGTTGGTGCCATAAGACAAGCGACACCTGACCTACTCAGTTGATACTTTTGCATCAAGTGTATCTTTTTCCGTTATTTCCTATAAAAGTAATAAATAACCCAGTAGAAATAAAAGTGAACCTAGTGAAAAAAATTACAAAATTGCACCCAAGGGAATGTTGACAAAAACTTTACATTTTAAACTAGAGGCATCATTACTTAATCCTGCTCTCGCGCTAACTTTCTGCTGTGCTGGAGTTCTGCAGACAGCGGGAAGCAACAACAAGCCATTATGCTTTTATTGTTATAATTATTCTTTCACTTTTTAACACTGCACTTTTTTTATAACATTAAATATTTCTTTTTACCTTACCCTTTTATGAAAAGTGAATATCATTTTTTTTTCAGGAAAATATAAAATTGGAGACCAGCTTGTTAACCACCAGGTGACTCACTGACGAACATCAACAAAATGTTTACATGTGGAGGTAACAACATTTCATGCAGATTTTAAATAATTTCTCTTCTTTTATTTGGACAGTGTTTTCCCCACTAAAAAGACAGCTGATATTTAGTCATTAACTACATTAGTGAAACACGTTTATCAAACAGTGAGCGAGACGCCAAGTATATTTTCCTTAGTCAGAGATTTCGTAGAGGAAGAAATAAAGAAAATAAAGATCGCGGCGTTGTACAGTGCCCAGATCTGTCCACACTTCAGACTAACAAGGACATAACTACAAACAGGTGTATTCAGTCACAACCAAACTTCACAAGACACAAATTAACACATTAATGGAAGCACGAGACAAAGTTACCATTATTAGTTAGAGAAATTACATATACCTTAAATTTTCCCCCGATTCAATGTCTTTATTTATTGATCGATTCAGCAATTGTTCCCTGACAGTACAGGTTACAGAGGAATCGGAACAAAACACTAACGACGATTTTTTCTGTTATGTTCACTAATCATTTGTTCTACAGTAAATTCTCCATTTAACGGACTATATGGAGAGGAAAGTTTGTTATATAGAGGGCCCGTTAGATGTGAAACCTCCAAATAACGAAATATATAGAGATGAAATTTTGTTATATTAGGGGTTATATGGAGAGAGAAAATCCATTATATGAACAGAAAAGTCCGTTATATGGATAAAAAAGTCCGTTATATGAATAAAAAAAAGTCCGTTATATGGATAAAAAGGTCCGTTATATGAATAGAAAAGTCCGTTATATGAATAGAAAAATCCGTTATATGAATAGAAAGGTCCGTTACATGGAGAAAAACCCGTTATATGGAGGTTTCACTGTATTAACGTATTTCTTCACTTTTTACATTCTAAAGTAAAAAAAAATAAACAAATAAAAATATCCAATTATTTCAAAGATCTACATTTTGTTTCTCTATTTTTCCTCGTGTCTGGCCGCCCCACACATCATGCGTGTACATTGATATTACAGGTGTGTAAATGTGGTGTGACATGCGAGCCACACTGTATACTGTTGGTGTTTACTGTGATGGTAGACAGAGAGGCAGACAGATAGAGAGATAGTTAGATATATAGATAGAGTTTTATACGGCGAGCCGAGAGAGAGAGAGAGAGAGAGAGACTGACTATACCCCCCCCATGAACTTTCCTTCTTCAGTGTGAATTATTGCTACACGTTTTTTGTCTTCTCTTTACTCATATGTTTTCCGGTTTATTTTTATCTCCGTCTTTTTCCGTCAACTTGTTCGTCTTATTCTTCTCGCATTGCTTGTTTTTACTCTCTCTCTCTCTCTCTCCCCTACTCCTCTCTCTCTCTTCGATTCTCACTGTTTTTCTCTCCTTTCTATCTCTTCTCTCACTCGATTCTCACTGTTTTTCTCTCCTTTCTATCTCTTCTCTCACTCCCTTTTCAGATTCCCCCCCTCATCCTTCTTTCACTTCTTCCTTCGTCTTCTATTATCCTCTTTCTCTCATTGTTCTCTCGTCTTACGTCTCCCGTTCCTTCCGTCTCTCTCTCTCTCCTCCTCCTGCTCATCTCTCTCCCTTCCCTACTCTCTCTCTCTCCTATTTGTCTCTCCCTTTCCGCCTCTCTCTCATCTCCCATTCCCTCCCCCTCTTCTTCCCTTCCACCTCTCTCCCTCCCTTCTGGCCTCTCACCCTTTGCTCTCTCTCACTCTCCCTCCCTCTGCCTCTCACCTCTCTTCACCCCCTCCTCCCTTCTTCTCCTCACTCCCCTGCTCTCTCCCCTCCATTTCTGCCTCTCACTCCCTCGCTCTTTCACCCTCCTCCCTTTCTGCCTCTCACCCCTCTTTCCTCCCTCTCCTCTCTTCTGCTCCTCTCACCTCTCCTCCTCCTCCCTCCCTTTCTGCCTCCTCACTCCCTCTCTGCCTCCCACCCCCTCTCTCACCTCCCCTCTCTCACCTCTCTCCCTCGCTCTCTCACTCCCTCCCTCCCTCTCACACAGCTCCTCCTCTGTGCTATCAACATTACACGAGGGAGCAGGAAGCTGTCCACAAGGCTTTCATGACGACAGGAGGAGATTAAATTAGCATGGTGGTCCAGGCGGCAGGTAACATGGACAGCACGCACACACACACACACACACACGCACACACACACACACACACACACACACACACACACACGAGGACATGAGTGCGAACCCCGGGCCTTCGATGGTATCTCAACCATAACCCGCTCGACTGTACCTGGTAACCCGACGAGCGCTGACGATGACCTGACGTGTACTGACGATGACCTGACGTGTACTGACGATGACCTGACGAGCACTGATGATGACCTGACGTGTACTGACAATGACCTGACGTGTACTGACGATGACCTGACGTGTACTGACGATGACCTGACGTGTACTGACGATGACCTGACGTGTACTGACGATGACCTGACGTACTGACAATGACCTGACGTGTACTGATGATGACCTGACGAGCACTGATGATGAGACCTGCGTACTGACAATGACCTGACGTGTATGACCTGACGTGTACTGACGATGACCTGACGTGTACTGACGATGACCTGACGTGTACTGACGATGACCTGACGTGTACTGACGATGACCTGACGTGTACTGACGATGACCTGACGTGTACTGACGAATACTGACAATGACCTAATGTGACCGGGCTTGTCCCAATGACCCCTGAAGTGACACGGGAATGACCTAACAAAGTTCTGAGGTGAGTTGATAATGACCTAACTAAGAGCCGACATGGCTACACTGATCTTGCTAAACCTGACGTGACCTGTCATGTACTGAATCATATAAGGTCAAAGGTCAATGAAACATCCTATCTATCTATCTATCTATCTATCTATCTATCTATCTATCTATCTATCTATCTATCTATCTATCTACACACACCCAGAATTTTAATCACTATAAACTAACAAAGATGAACAAAAAAATCACGTAGAGAAGATAAGAATAAACACATATGATAATTAACACAACTGATAAAAATGAAGAAAATTAAGAACACGAAAAAATTGGAAAATAATGTAAAAAGAAAAGAAAGAAAAAACGATAAACAAAGGAAAATATGAAGAGAAAAAACACGAGTGATATATTAAATGCAAATGAGGAAAATGAGATAAACCAGGAAAATAATAGTAATAATAATAATAATAATAATAATAATAATAATAATAATAATATTAATAATAATAATGATGATGATGATGATGATGATATAAATACAATAACCTTTCCTCGTACGATACCTTCAGCTTATGGATACGATGAATTAAACCTCTGAGTACGACGACTTAACCTCTTGAGTAGGATGATTTAACCTCCTGAGTACGATGGATTAACCCCTTGAATTATACCCAAGGGGTTAATTCATCGTATTCAGGTAGGCTAAGTCGTTGTACTCAGGGAGGTAAAGTTATTGTACTCAGGGGGTTAAACTCATTGTACTCGAGAAGGTTAATTCATCGTACTCAGGGACAGGGGGGGGGTAAGGTACTGGATTCGGATTAATTTATCATGAACAGACAAACCAACGTACTAGCAAACAGACAGACAGACAGACAGACAGACAGAATTCCAAATAGACGGACGTACACAAAAGAATCAATAACAATAAAAAAAAACACCAAATCAAAATATAAAATAAAATAATGTAAAAAAAAAAACTTATATAAAACACACTGTAAAAAAATGGAGACGGGGTTGAAAGGCTTAAGTAAGGATCCTCCAACCGAGTTTCTAGTTGGGCGAATTCAATTGGAGGAAAAGTTTTCATGAACTGCTCTGTCATTGGTGCAGACAATAATGGCCGTCCAATCAGCGTTCTTCTTGCTACGATGAGTCATTATCTTCAAAGTTAAGATTAGAATGATGAGAGGGACGACCCGGAGGAGGAGGAGGAGGAGGAGGAGGAGGAGAGAAAGGAAGGAAAATACAGAGGAGGGATTGAGAA